TTGCGGGCGAAGAGGTCATCGGTGGGCGCAGGGCCCGCGCCCCGCCGAGGGCTCCCCACGCCGCCGGCCCACATGGGCGTGCTGTGGGCCTGGCTCTCCGGGGGCCGGGTCGCATTGGCGGGCACGGGTGGTTGGTGCCCAGGCGGCAGGCCAGTTCCTGCCCTGAGGGAGGAGGGGGCTGCTCAGAGGGGCCTGGGGAGAAAACAGGAACCCAGGCCCCCAGCCTGGTCCTCCACCACGCCGTTGGCTTCCGGCCCCCTCCGCGACCATCAAAGCCGCTTCCGCTTTCCTGGCCACTTCCTTGTCTGCCTCAGGCTGAGGTTTCCAGCCCCCTCCTCCAGCTAAGCGCTGGGCAGGGCCAGGGCCTGGGCTGTCCCGGCCTTGGCCCCGGGGGTCTTGGAACCTGGGCAGCACCCGGGCTGCGAGGGTCCCTCAGTTCCCACTCACACACCTTGGCTTTGGCCTGGGCCCAGAATGAGGGTCCCCACCAAGTCCTGGCCCAGTCAGATAGATGATTTGTCCCCACACGGACGGGAAACCCATGGGGCCACTGGTGTCTGGGTCCGGCCCACTTGACAAAGGGAGGACGTCCTGTCCCCAGAGACCTTCCTCCCTGCCCCTCCCACTTCCTCCAGGGTCCCTGAGGAGCTGAGCACCCAGAAGCCGAGTCTCAATGCCCTGGCCCTCATGGCCTCAATACCTCAAGGACACAGGGGTTCCCAGGGGGCACTGGCAGGGCAATAGAAACGACAAGAGGACTTCCTTTGGTACAGGAAGTGGCCCCAGCTCTGAGCCCAGCCCCCTGCTCAGCCCCATATCCTGAGGAAGGTTCTGGGATCACACCAGTGCAGTCATGGGACCCATCACCCTGGCCTGAAGGACAGGCCCAGCCAGGCCCACTCTGCAGGTGACTGCGGCCATGCCTGGGGGCAGGGGAAGGAGTCACACGGATGAAGCTCCTTTACAGGAACTGGGACCATGGGACCTCTGCCTACCTGGGCTCACTGATACTGACGGGGAAGTCTGAGGCCCATGTGACAAATGGTTAAATTGAGGTCCAGATAAGGGGAGGCTCTTGCCTGAAGTAATTCCACATTACGGCTAGGATTTGAACCTGGGTCTGTCAATCTCCCAGGCCTAAACAGTGCAGTACCTGCCCACTCCTGTCCCTGTGTGGGTAGGTGTGAGGTGAGTGGGGGTTGGGCTGAGGCTCAAAGTCTCACAGGATGTCAGACTGAGACACCCAAGGCGCCAGTGACCTGCTAAATGAGGAAATGCGTCAAGACCAAGGGCAGATGCAAAGGGTGATGTGAGAAAGTGGGGAGGGGAAGCCACCACAGGTGAACCCAGGTTGGTGTGGGCAGGCAGGGCAGGGATGTGGGACCCTCCACTGGGAACACAGACAATTGCTGGCAGGTCTTCGCGCATCCTCCAGTGACACTGTGTGTGGCTGGGCTAGGACAGGGTGGGGGCAGGGGCTCCGTGCAGCCCTCATCTAAAGCTCCAGGACCACGCAAGGGTAGGCCTCCAAGCTTGGGGTGCCTCCTCCCATAGTTTCTCCTAGGACAATGTCTAGCCTCTGTTCTCTCATCTCTAAAATGGGGTTAAACCTTCTGCCCTTTGCCAACACCACTGGGAGACTGAAAGGAGGTTCAAAAGTGTGAAGCTGGCCATGTGTTAAGTATGTGGTGGTGAGGCAGGCAGGCCCTTGCTCTATGTGCCAAGCTCTTGGGTCTGGGCTGTGATGTGTGTGTTGGGGTGGGAGGGGACATGGGAGAGGGGAGCTGTGGAGGCCCCTATTCCATGTGGGCTGAGCTCTGTGTACGTGTGTGTGCACAGCCCATGGGCTGCCTCTTGTTCTGGCCCAGTGCTGGGCTCTGGCCCTGCCTTGGGGGGTGTTCTTGGGCTCTGCCCCCCACCCGGCAGCTTCACACAGGGTCCATTGAGGCCGGGACATTCCTCGCAGCCTGTGTCACTGGGGGGAGAGGGCCGGCCCCGCCCCCACAGATCCGGAAGGCCTGGCTGCCCCAGGAGGAGCCGCTGGACGCTTCCCAGCACATCTGGAGGTCATGACCCCATTTCTGCTGCCAGGGGGCGCGACAGATGTTTCCTCCCAGGCCAGACCCAAGACTGGGGGGGGGTGAGGGGTGGCGGTGTGCAAAGGCTGGGGAGGAGGCCGCCCTGAGATCAGGGGAGCCCCAGGACAGAGGGAGCCCTGCACACAGCCGGCAGCAGGGGCAGTCGCCAGCGCCGCCCAGAGGAGTCGGGGGCTGCCGCATCCAATCGCCCTCACACTGGCCGGGCAGGGCCGGGCCGTCACGCAGAGGAGAGTGGGGGCCGCCGGCCGGATGCAGGGGACTGGACGTGCTGACTCGGGACTGGAGCCCGGACGGAGGTTAGGGGGGGTGCAGGCGGCGAACGCGGCAAGGACCCTCCTTCCACATACACACCACCCGGGCCCACGCCAAGCCACCTTTACCCCTGTCGGGCCCGACCGCGGTGCTTCCACTCCCCCGCTCCCGCCGGTACCTCTGGGGCTCCCGCCTGGTGGCCGCCTCCCGCGCTGGGGTCCCGCTGCCTC